TTTCAGTCACAATGGCAGTAAATATGCTCTACTCACTGGCTTCATCGTTGTCGTAGAATGCATCCATGTTGAAAGTATATGTGAATGCCTAAGCAACAAAACTTGTGAATACGCGTACGATTGCTTGTCAATTTCATTCAAGGGTTGCTAATGCATGGGAACATGCTTGATCCCTAGTCACCGTCATATACTTGAACAAATATTCCTTGGTCCTAACAACCCTTCTGTCTATACCTATTCTGTCAAAATGAGGCTGTATTTAGTAGCGCCCATTGAAAGTGAGATGTATGATATATTCTGTCAACCGACCCTGTGTTTTTCATGTTGATCGGCCTTTCAACCGTCTCGTCGATCAACTTTCAAAAGCTAAAGTATGATTACAGCCGTTTGCATAATTCCGTGAACACCGAAAATTCTTTTTCTGGGCGTGACCAAGGCGTGACGTGACTAGTCACCTGACTAAGCACAGCTTTCCCTTGCTCTTTTCAGAAGTTCAGACGGTCCTGCGCCTCGTTCTTTCGCGTCTCGACCGGCGGAAATGTATAAAAAATATCCCTCCTCAATTATGGAAGGCATACTGGTCCTTTTGTCAAAGGATTAGTTATATTTTGCCATGTTCTCAGCCTTTGTGCATGACTTTTCAAACAAGCCTGATAAAAAAGTGGGCCAGGTCTTTATTTAACCCCTCTCCAATGCACTAAGCCACCATAAGTATGTAGCACCAGATCTTCAGGTAGCGAAGGTGTCATGAATGTAACTCTTCACTTCATTTTGAGCCGTTGGCACAGTTATCAGAACGCGGGAAAATGTCTTTTTTGGCCAGGTAAGTCACGTCACGCCCAAAAAAAGAATTTTCGGTGTTCACGGAATTATGCAAACGGCTGTAGCGCTCGGTCTTGCTTGTTCTATTTTATATACCTCTTTTATTGACGATAAACTGTCTCTGTTTGTCATGAGACATCCTTTCTTATATGTTGATTGGCTGTATCAACCACAGAATTTATGGCCGTCAGGTACTATACCTCTGGATCTAAACCTAAACAAATTCACTGAGTGGAGCATTACCTAAACGTTGTTGTTAGCTGTAACCGTCATTGTACTAGCTATACTTGTATTAGCTGTAACTGTCCCTGTACTAGCCTTGCTTGAACGTGATTATTCTTCGGTCTTCAAGCTGACTCGGCTTTCTACCTTTATTTCAATTTTGACATTTTTGTACTGGGTTATGTACTGATGGTATGGATTATGGTATTGCCGTGAATGTGTGAGAGAACGTTTCTCACCAGTTATTCACGGCATGGGGATCCTCA